TATTTGCATGTTTAGTCTCGCAGTGCCGTTTGATGTTAGACTCTTTCAAAACAGAAACAGATTCGTTGCATATCAAGCAAATGAACTTTGTTTTAATTTCCACGACAAAATAGTTTATAGAAGACCTGTCTTGAAAACGTCTTAATTCTTCTGTGATTCTTCTCTTCTTTGGTTCAACGTTTTGACTAGTTGACGCCATGTTAAGTTATGAGTGTGATCCCGAGGGCGCTGCGAGCTGCCCGAAAACGTCAAAGACCAGAGAACATATAAATCAGAAGTTGACGTACCATCTTAATTTGATCAATACCTAGCGTCGGACAAAAAGCTAAGTAAGCTTGAGTATCAAATAGCGGGATATTTGAAATAGCTCAAATAGAGGAATTTTCCCGAAAATGCAGGATATTTTTAATAACTCAAAACCAATGAATTTTTCCAAAAAAATGCTAGATCTTTTAAATTTCTCTTAAGTATAATTTAAAAATATATGATACGAACTACCCATGATGTAATGTTCTTTTGGTAAATTGTACATTTGATCCAGCTCCGCGGGCCGCAACAAGACTCCCGGCGGGCCGCATGTTGGCCACCCCTGTCCTAAAACGTTTAGACATCGGCGCCGTGGGGGGGGGGGGGTGTGGGCAGGTGAATCAATGTTATGACTGTTATAATTTCATTGTTGTTTTTGGTTACATAATTATCAAGGATGGGTCTTCAAGTTCAAGGCCTCGAATTTTGATCCAGCTCCGCGGGCCGCAACAAGACTCCCGGCGGGCCGCATGTTGGCCACCCCTGTCCTAAAACGTTTAGACATCGGCGCCGTGGGGGGGGGGGGGTGTGGGCAGGGGAATCAATGTTATGACTGTTATAATTTCATTGTTGTTATTGGTTACATAATTATCAAGGATGAGTCTTCAAGTTCAAGGCCTCGAATTTCTCCGGCTACTTAAAACCTTAAAAATGTGGAAAAGGGGGGGGGGGGAGGAGGAGGAGGACTATAACAAATAATAACATGCGACAAGATTGTCCCATCTCATCCCCACCCCCTGTGACCTCATCTCATTCCAAATGGGCAAGTTTTTTAAACGTTCAGTTTTGATGTGTTTTGAGCGAGGCAAGCAAGCAGTCCTAGTTCAGTGTGCTCACCTGATAGTGATACCGGTATGACTAAATACAATGTTAAATTAGTGGGCACTAGTTCGGGGGATTTGTGTGTGGGTATTCCTGACAATCATCTAAGGGAAGACGACTAACATTGCGTGAAGCTATCTTTAGTAACGCGAAGTCAAATTATTAAGAAGAAGATAGGTTGGGGAATACCTGGTATAGAGAGCTTCCATTACGATGAGAACTCTTCCCGTGGTTCATAGTTTCGTTGACCAAGTTTCTGTTCGTTTGTGGGGTGTTGATCCCCGCTAGTAACGTAATACTGCCATGGGATACTGTGGCAGGAAGTGGTAAGACCATAGGGTTGTGGGTAGGGACATGAAACCACTACAAGAAGGTCGGGTTTTGCGTGCGGACTGACAGAGAAAAAAACACTCCAGCTTCCGTTCTGCTACTACTTCGGAAAATTCCCCGAGGTAAACAAAAAAAAAAAAAAAAAAAACCAACAGAAACCCCACATAACCACTTAGAAGTAAAGATACAAGAAAAGTGGTGACAGGAAATTTGTTTGAAAGAAAATTGATCGACGAAAGTTTGGTCGAACGGAAAATTGATCGAATTTTTTTTTCTTCAGTTCACACGATCAAATTTGACGCAAAATTTCCGTTTGACCAAACTACCGTCGACGAAAATTTCTTTCAAACAAATTTCCGGATACGAAGAAATGTATCAACACTAGACAGTAATAATAACAGTAATAGCGGTGTCGTGTCAATGCGGAGTTGTACATTATGCCGTGAAGATTTTTAAAAAAAATTGTTATTAAGTTTAAAGTGGTGAGATGTGTGATTATGCATGTTGTTTAAAACGATTTTTCAAACCTCTTGTGGGTAGTGAGTTGTGTTGTTTATAAGTTGGACTTACAGTAGTGTACGTTTTTTTGTATAGAATATAATTTTTTGTACATTTATGCTCAATTTCCATGCATTAAAAAATTGTACATGCGAATTACCATTGTTGGAGCCATGACACGGCCCCTTTAGAAGGGCTTCCACTGTATACAAATATTAATTTCTTTAGACCGGAGACTAACTTTATTTGTATTTTTTAAACTTTGGGGTCGTGAATGTTTTTATTATTTTTTTTTTTATCATTTCAGATACAACATGGGACTGATACCAACCAAACGAAGCCTGAGTCTAGCAGACAGAGTCATGGCGTCGTCCTTTTGCAGGTTGGTTTATGGACTGTAACAAACAGCGTGCCACTTACACACTGTCGATAATGATGTTTGTAGGGGAGTTAGTGTAGCTGGGAATGTAGATGTGAACGAGGAACTCGTCAAACTGATGGGGGCAACATTTAACAAGGAACCCGTCAAACTGATGGGGCAAGATTTAACAGGAACCCATAAAACTGATGGGGCAACATTTAACAAGGAACCCGTCAAACTGATGGGGCAAGATTTAACAGGAACTCATAAAACTGATGGGGCAACATTTAACAAGGAACCCGTCAAACTGATGGGGCAAGATTTAACAGGAACCCATAAAACTGATGGGGCAAGATTTAACGAGGAACCCTTCTAACAAATAAATATCAATTTTTAAAGAATAACTTTTCCAATACATGCTAAATAAGCTACGATGAGTTGAATCAATTTTTTAAAAATCCCTTGATCAAATCTAAATCTTCCTCCACAGACGGAGGCTGCCAGTTTTAATGGTGAGGAACCACATGGCAGAGACTCTGAAAGCTGCCACAACTTTCATTGAACAAGGGCGTATCCTTAAGTAGAGCTTTACGGATAAAGGGATATAACTGCTTAATTAACAATACATGGTTCTTAAAATTAAATGATTTCCTCCCTTAGTCTTAGTTATTACAACGAAGTGGCTATCCGGACCTGGGTCGGAGAAGTTAGAGGTTGGGATTAAAATTTTACAAAAAAATTTGTTAGGTTGTACGAAAAAATTTGGTATCAAATGAAAGATAATTGAATGGACTATATATTTGTAAACTTAATTCTTCATTTTAACTAAAATAAACTACCACAAATGACATCCGAATAGCATTGAGTCCAAAGGGACCCGGGTCCGAATAGCGGCGATGCGTTTCCGGTTCCATTTTGACTACATGCTATTCGGATGTCATTTGTGGTATTTTATTTTAGATAAACTTAAGAAGTAAGTTAACAAACATATAGTACAATCAATTATCTTTCATTTGATACCAAAGTTTGTCTTACAAACCCTACCATAATTTTAAAATATTTTTTAATAAACCAAAACTCTAACGTCTCAGACCCGGGTCTGAATAGCCGCATCCTTATTTTAATGTGGATTCCCAAAACAAAATGAATGATATTAAAAATAAATTGGAAAATAACCATTAAAATTACTTGTCTTTTTGCTAAACACACGCAGCTATTTATATAAATGATGAAAAAGTAAAGGAATTTGCCTGCCTGTATATCCCCTCCTCATTTTCCCCTAACCCCCAGGAAAAAAGTTTTATATAATTTACAAATGAAATTTGATAAATAATCCTAAATTTTAATTTTCTCATAATAATAGTTAATCAACAGTTGTAAATGTTCCTTAACATATTTAAGATGTCAGAGTAGGTCCCAATGTCATAGATGACCCAGCATATCTTGTCACAAGGTGAGGCTATTTTTTGTACTCCAGGTTATGGACAAAGAAATATTTAGGAATGGAATCAGACTGCCTCTGAATAGTATTTAATAGTAATACTTCTGCTTCTATTTACACATCAGTTCTGTAAAAATAATCTAAGATTGTTACAGAGCCACAATTTTATTTTGATGAATTGGTAACTGCTGTAAAAAAAAGTATAGTGTTGTTTATACTTACAAATTACTCACCATCAGACTGAATATTATGGGAATAAAGAAGAGTACTTTGTTGTTTAATATGAAATAAGTTTTTAATAATTGAAATAGTTTTTTTTTTAAAATATGAATACGGTACCAATTGTCATTCAGAAACATGGAGGACTTTGTCTCATGGAAGGACACATCAAAGATTAAAAAGCAAGTTCAAGAATACAATGATATTGTGAGTTGGTCTTCATCTCAATTTATTTGACTTTTTTAAAAAAAAATTATTTAATTTCTTTTTTTTTTATACATTACTTAAACCATAATCTGTTTTAATAATAAAAAAAAAAATTAAAACTTTGCATATATGTTTGGAATAATTAATTGATTTACATAATATTTTAGTTTTCTTATTTCTTCGTTAACAATTCAATTTTTTTTTTCGAGCATTGGCATGGAAACTTTAACAAACTTTTTTTTTTTTACATTTCAGCGAGATGATTTTGACCTTGCTTGAGTGTGGCTGATGATATTTTAGTTTAAGTAACTGCAAAATGTTTGATATTTAAATTAATGTAAATAAATTTTCATGAATTTATTTGGTCTCTTATGCTTATTTTTTAAATATTTGTGCCCTCAATGTCATTTGTAAGTTTTCATTTGTGAATAAGTTATGCATAATTATATGATGTCTGGGGAATGCAGGACAGCCAGGTTACAGAATGCACAAGGCAAATACACTAACAGTAAAAGTAAAGAGTTAAGATTTTAGGCTCTATCTCATTCACTGGATTTTACAGCACATTTAGCACAAAGTGCACTACACTTGTAAAACTGCTGGCTACTTTTCCTTAATTTTGGAGACTATGTTAGTGAAAGGAATAAATCTTTATTGCAGTTACAGGTTTTTAATCTGGGCTTCACACATTGCTTAAGGTCAAAGGTTAGGGTTCCTGGTAGGAAAAAAATAGACTTAAACTAAAGTGTATATTAAATGGTTCTTTCCCAGAAAGCCAGGGTAGTTACTAGGTAAATAAAAAAAAAATCTTAAGAACTCTGTGTAACAAAAAAATGAAAATATAAAAAAAAATGACTGCATTTTTAGGCAAATATTATGTGCTGATGACAATGACAGTGAAAAGGAGAGAAGTCTACCAGCCATTTTAAGTAAATACCGGTACAATTAACAAAGAATTATAACTTAAAGGATTTTATTATTTAAAATCCAAGACATAACAATAATTTAACACTAATTCATGGGAATGCAAATTTCTTTTACCCAAATAACAAAAACCCTCAAACACAAATAGTAAAACGAATTTAAAACATAACTTAAATAAACCTGCTGTAAAGACTTGCTAAAATTGAATGTTATCTTTCAATAAGAAGTTAAATCTGCCCTATGAAAGTATTGTAAGTACATTTCCGGTTCCAGAGTCATTGGAAGATCATTTAAAAAATCCAAAACTTCCCAGCGAGCTGAACCTTGACCTATTTTCCTGCGGTACTGGCACCTGTGCAATTACTTGACGAGCCATCTCTATCCTTCGTTTCATCTTCAACAGCTGTTTGTTGATCAGCGAGAGTTCGCCTGTTATTCTTTGAACCCCTTGCTCTCCTTCCACTATCATCTTATCTATGGCATCCACAGCCCGGGCTTTGCCATGGCTGAGAGACTCTCCAAATGCCATGTCTTCCTCTGTGTCCTGGAGCTGTTCATCGTCCAGCATGTTCATGTCAAAGTTGTCGGCAACTAACTCACACAGTTGGGACTCGGACAGGTCACCAGATTTCATTGACATGGCATTGTTTTCATCTTGACAACCTTTGTTTACAACAATTTCATTACTACCAAGCTCAGGAGATTTTTTGTTAGTTTCTTTAAGAGACTGCTCTGGTGATTTTCGGACTTCTGTCTCCAAAACTGGGAGCTCATCAAAAACCCCATGCATTCTATAATCTCCAAGCTGTTGCTTATCACCAAAGTTTTCTATTATTTCTTTTTGAGTGAGCTTCTCAATTTCATTCTCCATGACATTTAATTCAAAGGGCTGGGTAGAATCATAGTTTTCCTTAGATTTAGTAAAGTTTTTGTTTAGGTCATGAAGTTGCTCTCTACTTAACATGTGATGTGTCCCCTCGTTTTCTTGCATGTTTTCATCGAGGACTTCTTTAATTTCCCCCCCAGTATTTCCTTCCACATTTGCACAAGATTGTTTGTTTATTTCACCAGTAAGTGAACTTTCAGAGCTATTATTAGCTTGCACCTTTTTTTCAAGAGTTGTTTTCTTTTCTACTAGGTCATCTTCTTGATTAACCACTGTCTCATTCTGTTGAGGGCTCAGGTTATCTGATTCCAATTTGCCCTGGGATTCTACTATATTCCTGACAATACTGACATATTCATCTGGACATGTCACATTTTCTACAATATTCCTGATAGATTTGTCTGGACATGTCACAATTTCTAGACTTTTTTCTTCAGCTACATCCCCTTGCTCAATCGGAATTAAACAATCTTCTGGTAATTTACATTCATCCTTTTCAAAACCCATTGTTATATTTTTCATTTCCAAGAAGTCTTTTTGATCTATAATAATGCAAGCATCATGTGGCTGGAACTGAGCTGTCATTGGGGCATCTTTCACTTCTCCTAATTGTTGTAGCAATCCTGGCCCCTCTGTTTCATCACCATGAACTGCTATGTTGTTGCATTTGTCTTCTGCTGTACTGGAATTACATGTTATAGATGCAACATCACTATCATCTCCTCTCATTGTGACTTTTTCTTTCTTGTCGGTGTCATAAGATATTTTTTGATGGTGTTGAATGTTTACTTCATCTACAGACTCTGGTTTATAGTCATTGTCGTTACTGAATGGCACCTCCTTATCATTGTCCATTGAAACTAATTCTTGAACTTTACTAAGATGATTTTTTTGAGGAGGGTCATTGTTCATTAATAAAGGCAAACTACAAGTCGCCTCTTTGATTTGAACATCATCACTATTTTCTGTTTCCATTTTCTTTTCTTCAGGAGCGGGCTCACTATTTAAAGTTATGACTTTCTCTACTTTTAGGTCCATCTGACTTGATGATGCTCCACTTGTAACTTCAACTGGTGACACCGTCACGGCAGTTTCTGTGCAATCATTATTTAAAATCTCATCGATTTCCATGCATAGCTTAACTTTATGCTGATTTGATTCTAAATAGATTTGCTGGGGATTTGTTGCATGAAATGATTCTTGAAGGTTCTCAGGTATAGTTTGAGTGTCAAGGCTTCTATTACCCATAACTGCACTTGCCATGTCATCTTTCCCTTTGGCTGGACTTTCTTGTGTAATATCTTTCACAAGTTGTATTGATCCACTTTTGTTGGGATTGTTGCCATCTTTTTGGACTTCAGCTAACCTTAAAACAAAGCAGAGAATAGAGAAGATAAAACCATTAAAAAGATTTTGATGAGAATTAAATGAGTTGAAGTAAAGAAAAAGATTTTAAAAAAACAAAGTAAATAAAGGGGAAAAAGGTCACTCTTTACAGTCCCGCTATTTACAAATTGTCTTTATTGTTTGCAATGCCAAATAAAATTCAATAATCAACAATCTGTTTTAGTGTCTAAAAATAAAAGTATGTCAAGTAATATATATCGCATATATTTCTTCACATTTGAAATATTCTAATTTCAATCTATGTCACATTGATATCGGCATCCTTCCGTCTCGTGAGACGATGGTGCATCACCATTGGGTTGGGTTGCATTTTCTCGAGTGGCTGTGCAGTCCTATCCTTGAGTGACAGTCTTTACCACAGTTTTTACACACGAGTTCCGTGCTTCTAAATGTTTTGGCCTTTCTCCTAGCTCTTCTGTCTGCAGCCTCTTCCATTCTTCGCTCCTCGGCTACCATGACGCCCTCTTTGACATTGATATCACTTCACAATAATTTTAAGAAGTGTGTTAAAATTAAACTACAAAAAACATAACCACTAGGCTATATTTGTAAACAAAATAGGAATTCAAAAAAAATATTGTTACCCTAGCGTATCATTGGTGCTGACTGCTTGTTTTCCACGTTTTTGTTTAGGTTTTGCTGTTGCTTTCAAATTATCGTCATCTGACAAGAAAAGGTAAACATCCTCACAACATAAAAAACAAGAGATCAATAATTAATAAGAAATAAGTAATATAGTTTCATACTTGAATTTAATCAATGTTACCAACTTAACAATTGACAATTGCTGTTTTGCTACTCTATAACAATTTATGATACTCGTACTATACATTTTAATGAAATGAAATTTGATATAAAATTAGCTGGGCAACTGGTAAAAAATAATTAAGTCATTTAAGTTGTCAATGATCTGTCAGAGTAGCTAGTGCATGGGAAAAATAATAAATTGATAGCATTATTTACCGCAGCTATTATTGAAATTGATGTATGAATAGTATGATAATTATTTTATGATATTGGGTGGCCAAGTGGTCTAAACCAGTGGTCCCCAGATGGCGGTCAGTGTACCTTCACCGGTCCGCATGCCTAATGCCCATAACATAAATATTTATTGTCAAATAGAAATAAAAGTATAAAAATATATCATGCACCGGTCCCTGGTAAAATTTCAAAACTTGTTTACTGGTCCGCCAAACTTAAAAGTTTTGGAACCACTGGTCTAAACTGAGCCAATCTCAAGTTTATGGTCCAAAGTCAAAGCCAAAGCAACTAAGAACATCACCAGCACCCCGGGTGGATGGGACTGGTTAACCTTGGATGGCAACATATCTAAGAGAAGGAAATTCTGAATTACAACCCAGAGATGGAGTCCAGAAGGCAGATAACATTGGCACAATGAAACATTCCGCCAACTTCTGCGACGCCCTTGGGTTATCCAGCAGCGTGGAGAGAGGCCATAGGCTGTAGGCGTAGGGAACCAGCTTATAACTTATACTCTAAAAGAATAATCCCATCCTGTGTATCTCATCCTGCGAAGTCTACACACATCGTTACACTGTGATGGGTGGATGACAGCAATTTTATGAATATTGAATTTTGTAATTAAAGTAGTACTACGGTTATTACTACGTATACTTTAATTACTAGTAGTAGTAGTAGTAATAGTAGACTCTAACAACAATCTTACCTTCCGTTTTTCTTTTATTTCCTCGTAAAGTTGGCATTGTGTCTTCTTGCGGCAAGATTTATTTCATGAAAGAAGAAACAAATTGACACAAATACTATATGATCAAGTATATTTATGTTTATATTTAAGGCTTAAATGGTTTGAGTGCATGTGAATGTGATCGGACAATAGTCGTCTGTCAGCAACAAGTTGTCTGCTACAGAAGGGGAGGTCGTAATGATTACTCTTTTTAAAGTATTATAGAATGATCTCCCCTTTATCGGGAATTACCAGCAGACTCAGACATGAAAGACTGGCCTTACGATACCGACACTGAAAGTGATAGTATCTAGCTACTTTCATTCATTCGCATATATGAAAAACTCATACTAATAATATTCATACTAGGGATTATAGATATTCATTAATGCAGTTATAAAACTTGCAACAAATTTGACAGAAGATGAGCCAGACCGAAGAAGCTGACCAAGAAGCTTCTCTTGAACTTTACAACTTGCAAGTAAAAAACCAGCTTTATTTTTTCATTTTCCTTTTAATTACTAAATTGAAGCCAGATAAATTACTAACTAAACATTGCTAAATGAGTAATTATAAAACTCATAAACTCAGTATAAAACTCGGCAGACCGAGTGATTAATTTTAGAGATTTATTCATATATAGTATAATAGTCTATGTATAGTCATAGTACCGATGTAGTATGTAGCTTTGCCTTTTTAAAAAAAAATGTATCAGTATCACTTGTTGTTTTACTCCAGTCATTGATTGACTCAATTGAAAATACCAGAAATTAGTTGGTATCTAATTCCATGCTTATTAATGTAAACAAGCTAAAGACTTAGCTAAAATTCTCTGTGTAAAGGTTGTCAAAACAAGTTATTAGCATCTGCATTTGCATTAAATTTAATTATGATGCATAAGCCCACATTTAAAATTAGGGCCTCTTTTACTTTATGTTTGAATCTGAAGGCTGGAACCAATGTTCTACCATTACCTACTACACTATGACCCACCAGTTGCATACCTAGGGGGTGTGAAGGTGGGGATTTCCCTGGGCAGCACTTTTGGGATTGATATATTGAAAGTCATACATATGAATTTGCTAAATTAGGATAATTCTTATCATGAGGCAGTACTTGGGCAGTGTGTCTTAAGGCATGGGTACTCTGGGCAGTTGCCCAGGGCCTCAATCATCAAGGTGACTCACGCTTCTATGAGTCTCATATCTGTAGGTGCCTAAAGCCTCCAGGAGCCTAACATCTCCAGAAGCCTTACGCTTTTAGGGGCTTAACACATCTAGGGGCATCATGCTGCCCATATGGTTAATGAATATTGAAAGAAGTTGTAACAATTTTATTGTCTTACAAAATGCAGAGGAAAGTATGTTTTTGTAAACTAGATTTTTGGATTTTCAAATCAATTATATTTTTTGGCATTGGTTTTAAAAAATGTTCTTTTTAAATAATCAATTTTTTTTAATAAAAATGAGAGACAGGTTAATTCAGGAAATCTAGTCCATAAATAATATGTATTAGTTTAATACTGGCCACTGAAATGAAATAGGTCACCAGATCAGGTAAAAATAAGAATTCAAAAAGTTTAAAATAATAAATCAAATGTAAAAGTTAGTATTAGCTAATGATTAGGGATTCTATGTATGTCTGAGATCTGGGCTTTAGAGCAATACATTATGATGGGGGTTGGGGGGGGGGCGGGCACAAAAATCATAGCCATAAAAAAACATAGTGTAAATAGTTTGGCCATGGCCTATCCATCACAGCTTTCTCAAGTTGAACAAGCAATCCAAGTTGCAGGGGAATCACCGGATTTGAACCAGTTAAGGAATGACCTACAAGAACTTATTGACCTGACTAAAGGTAACGTTGTTGTTGTTTGAGATTGGTTCTTTTGACTTGACTCAAGGTAACGTTGTTGTTTGAGACCGTCTGTATTGACTTGACTAAAGGTAACATTGTTGTTTGAGATTGACTGTATTGACTAGAATAAAGATAATGTTATTGTTGTTTGAGATTGGCTTGTAAGCTAAGTTAAATTTAAAGAATATCATTTAATCCCTGAAAATAAATTTTTAAATTATTATGAGCTAAAACTAATTCATGGATAATTCAAAATGTGATATTGTATGTAGATGGCCTGGAATTCAATATGTTTTGATCACCATGGTTTTCTTTCCTATGCAAGCTCTTTACAAAAATAATGAAACCAATTCCTACAACATTTTCATAATTTATTAGCACAAAGAGACTATTTACTTTTTATTTTTTTAACACAGATAATTTACTCCAACTTAAGAAAGCCAGATTACTCAAATCGCTAGAAGACCACCCTACAAGCTGGACAAGTGGGGCTGACCCGCAAGCTTCTGGAAGTGATACGATTGAAGATGAATATGCTGCTTTTCAAGTAATATTAAAACTCTTGAAAAAAAAGTATTTTAAATTATTTGGTTTAAATGCATTAATTATTACTATTACTAAACATGTGATCTTCTTTTCCCTAATATTTCTTCTATAAATATTGTCTGAATGTTACCTCCATAAATATTGTCTGAAAATTGCCTCTATAAATATTGTCTGAAAGTTTCCTGTATAAATATTGTCTGAATGTTTTCTCTTTAAATATTGTCTGACAACCTTGGAATAAAATTTTGTCCTTTTTAGCACGTTTAAGATTTAAAATTATTTTTTTTTAATGAGCAATTTGAACAATAAAATTAAGAAAGAAATGTCACTCTAAATTCATAAATATTTTTTAAATACAATTCTCTGTTAAAACATTTGATGTAAATTTAAAAAAAATTGAAATCCTCACTCTTGATGTAGTCAAATTAACTTATGTAGTAATTAAAATTTAATCTTTAAAATAAACTTTTTTTTTCTTTTTACACCTTTTATTTCTATTAATAAGACACTTCAATATCATCAGGCATCATTATCTAGTCACACAGTGGCCACACCCAAGGAAGAGTTATCACAGAGCAGTGGGGATCAGAACACAAAGATCAAATCTGAGCCACAGTCTTCATCAAACTTGGCAGACAGCCCAGATGACAGTGACGATGACTCCAATAGTGACGATGAATCCAGTAGTGACGATGAAACTTTGGATGCCTCTTATTTTTCCCACCTGGTTGGAACCAAATGTCGTGCACCTTTCTTCCATGACTGGGGAGGGCATCACTACGGCAATGCCATGATATGGTCCGTGGAGCCCCCTTTGGAAACAGATGATGCTGATAACTTTAAGGTAGTGCTTTACATCAGGCCTGCACAACATATGGCCCACGGCCCACATGCAGCTACCAGCAACCATTTTGTGGCCAGCGAAGTAACGAAGTATACTTTATTGTTATTATTTTCTTAATAGCTTTCCCCCCTATTTCTTTCGGCCCGCACAAGTATTTCATAATGTGTTTACGACCCGCCTTACATTTTAAGTTGAACATGTCTGCTCCTGCTCTACATCACTGGGAAGAGAGCGGGGAGGTTCTCACTACTTGAATCTTGTACTCCCTACTTACAGAAAAATACATCTAGCACACACCTCTTTAGATACCCCCTTACTTTCACCCCTTACTTAACCTCCCTTATTTATACCCCATAACAATTATATAAATAACTTTCACACACTTAATCACGAAATAAACAAATGAAGGATGAAAGGTAACATTACAATTAGTGTTTGTAAATATCATCACATTCATTCTTAGCCAGTCACTTTTGTTTATGCCCTCTTGAGCCTGTGGGGAAAAATTGTTAAGTTTTCTTTAGTTATGTGTTTATGGTGTGCGAATAATCTGACTAATGGGGAAATTCTTTGTGGGATATATACTTAAGGTTTTAGGCAGTGAAAGAGTTGGTGTCCTACTGTTTCAGCTTGTATTATATATATATTTGGCATCTTTCTGTCTTTGCAAGACGATGGAGTAGCTATGTACACTTCCACAAAGGGCTTACTAGGCTCATCCTGGAATGGCAGACTCCACTGCATTTCTTGCAGGAGAATCTTGACTCCTGGTTAGATATTGCCTTCCGTATTGCTCTTTTTGATGTAAGAGCTTCTTTTGGCACATCTTCTGCCTGTTTTACTCCTTCATACAGTGGTGTTTGACTGCTGGAATGTTTCTCAGAATGATATCCCATTTGTTGAATGCTCTGTTGACTCCTTTAGCAAATGTCCATGAATCACAGCTGTGGTTGTCCAATAAGTCTTGTCCCTTCTGACACTTCCATGCAGCTTCTTTAGAATAGGGCCTTCCTCCATTTTTCTTACATGGCCCAACCAGGGAAGGTGCCTCTTGCTAAGAGTGGAGACTACGCTACACATATTCTGGGATGATTGTCTACCTTATTTTCCAGTTAACGCATAATGGCTGTGTTGCTCCGGGTTGAAATGGCTAGAAAGACTTTGAGATTGTATGCTTGTAATTAGTTTTTGTAGTGTTGCGTTTGTTTTAAATGTGGTAAATTATATATATGTTTTTTGTTGACTTTGTACCGCACTTCGAGCCTTTGGGGATGAAGCGTGTTTTTGAAATGAACTATATTATTATTATTATTATTATTATTATATTTCCATATACACTAGATATAACCCACCAAACAATGGTGGTGGCGATTTGTGAACTTCCCATCTATTAAAATTACTTAATAAAAATATGCATTCAAGTAACGCAATATATGGGAATCTCTATTAGTGCTAATTTCTGGGAATTTTATTTTGCACCCTTTTGAATGCGCCTGTTGGAACATTTCGTTACAACCAACACACCAAGAGATTTATATATTTTGATTTTTAAATGTTTTACCACTATATTTCTCTTTCCTAAACTAACTCAGGTGCGTGTGATATTCCTCAATCCCATCCATCCATCAATCATACCCTGTAAATATTTCATGGACAGCAGCTGCCGATTCTCAGATGATGAGTGCCGGTAAGCACTGGGAAAATTAATTTTATGAAAATATTCCTACTTAACATGGTTTCTGTTCAATTGTTAAATCCATAAAAAAAAATATAGGAAACAATTTTTTTTTATAATAAACTAGCGAGTGCCCAGCATATGTTGCAATGCCACTCAAAGACAGAAAGTGTTTTAATTATGTTTTTTAAAGTACTTTTTATTTTGACAAAGTTTTTGTTTTTCCGCAAGGTGCGTACACAAATAATATAGCATTTTCG